TTCATGATCTCAAATTTATGTCTTCCTTTCTCTCATCAAAGAAGTGTAGGTCATTGGGTCATTCACTCATTCCTTCTTTTCTGCCTCTAAGTAAACCTGAAGAATTTTAATACAGAAAAAGGCTTTCGGTGGACTGTCTCATTGCCTCACTACCGGATTCTCTGTCGCATAACCATGATGAGATTTCTCCTGTTTGCCTTGCTCAGCTTAGTCTTGTGCACCTGGCTTTCTCCCTCTTTTACCTCATAGATTTGGTTCACGTCTCTAGCCCAACAGCAATCAGCCTCCAGCCAAATTTACTCTTTTCTGTTTTCCCCAGCATCTCACAGCTGCATTTGACACCGTTCATCATTCTCTTGTTAAAATTCTGTTTAGTCTCGGCTTCTGGGGCAGTCTTGCTGTTTTCTTAACTCTACTTAATCTTTTGTTATATTATAGGGTGCAAGCACCAGAAAGCTATCTTTCCCAAACTGCTCATTTTTACAGGCAGGGAAGCTCTGCACTGCATTATGTACTTGTTTACTTGCTTCTCTCCCCACTTACCTTATGGGGTCCCACAGCCTTGGCCCTAGGCACACTCCACTTTCCTCAACTCTAAACAAACTGACATTTTTGTTAAATACTTTGAAAAAGGTACCTAGCAAATCTCCATATCTATCACGCATCTTTGTTTTATCTTTTATTCTCATAATAAATCCATTTGTTAACCCCTAAACACCTGCAGCAGTCCAACACTGGACTTACTATTGCCTCCTTATTCTTTTAAATCATTGCGCCCAAATTTCCCTTTGTCTACATTTCTGACTTGAGAATTTGGAGCCATCTTAAGGTCTCACTTTATCCATTGTCCAGTACATCTGCCCCTTTCCCACCTGTCTATTAATGGTTTTCTGTGATACTGTGTAGATCTGCCTCTTCCATCTCCTCAAGTGCCATAAAATTACAGTTTTTTCCCCCTTTATGTCCAGGCTGCTACAGGGGGCTTCTGAGTGTTGTCCCTCTTTTTGGTCTCACCCCCTCCTCAGCTGTCATGTGCTTCAGACTGTTGATTCCTTACTGTCCACTCTGTCAGTCTTCATGATTCTGACCTTTTTGGTTCTTTACTAGTTACACTTTCCCTCATTTTTACTAATCTCTTTTCTCAGCCCCAAAGAAAACTTTCCATTCCAACCAAATAAATTCATTTGTACAGTTCGCCTTTCTCTGCCTTCTGCCCACCCTCTCTCCAGCCCTCCTGCCAAAGTCAACTTGCTGTTTCTCACCTTGCTGACTTCTAGAGAACTATTTCCCAGTATGGAATGCTCTCACATTTCCTACCAGACCATGTTCTTTTTGTGCATTCATTTATTCAGCAAATGTTTGTTTACTATTTGCTGTGTGCCAGGCATTTTGCTAGGAATTAGGGATACCAAATCCTTGCCCTCAGGGAGCTCCATAGTCCTGTGGGGGACACAAGTAAATAGGGAGTTACAAAGCAGTGTGAATAGTGCTGGTATAGAAAGTCTTAGAGGCCACGGGGGCATATGTAGAAGGGACATCTTGCTGTGGGAAAGAAGGGGTGTCATGCAGCCGTTCCAAAGGATATTTTAAAGTTCCTTAGCCAAAGAAAGAAAACTAGACGCAAAACTTCACCTGCCAGAAAGCCGTGTATAAGTGGCCCCACCTGGCCTGGTGGGGCCCTCTACTCTGCATTCCTCTTGGCCCTTATAGACCCAGTACAAACTCTTGAAATTCACATTATATTTTCTATGGCTTTTTGAATAATCCTCTTTTATTTTTAACATTTATTCATTTGAGAGAGAGAGAGAGAGAACTGGGGTGGGGGGCAGAGGGAGGAGAGAGAAACATAAGCAGACTCCGTGCTGAGCGTGGAGCTTGACATAGGGTTCGATCCCACGACCCTGAGCTTAGACCTGAGCCAAAGCCAAGAGTCAGATGCTCAACCAACTATGCCACCCAGGCGCCCCCAAAATCCTCTTTTTTGACAATACATACATGTTTTCTCTTCAACTAGATTATAGGCTACTTTCTAGGACCTAGAGACTGAGTATCCTTTTTCTCATACTCTGTGCAAAGTGTCCAATGTAAATTCACCAGCAGAGGACCCAACACAATGACCACAGCTTCCTTGGGCCTAGGGCTTTTCAAAATTTTATTCCACAAGCTTGACTGTGACTGTCAACCTTGGAAGGTATTTTTTCTTTTTTTTTTTTTATTCTTATGTTAATCCCCATACATTACATCATTAGTTTTAGATGTAGTGTTCCATGATTCATTGTTTGTTCATAACACCCAGTGCTCCATGCAGAATGTGCCCTCCTCAATACCCACCACCAGGCTAACCCATCCTCCCACCCCCCTCCCCTCTAGAACCCTCAGTTTGTTTTTCAGAGCCCATCATCTCTCATGGTTCGTCTACCCCTCCGATTTCCCCCCGTCATTCTTCCCCTCCTGCTACCTTCTTCTTCTTCTTCTTCTTTTTTTTTTTTTTCTTAACATATATTGGAAGGTATTTTTATTTGATTCTTGGACACAATGGAATTTTCTGTTGTGTGTGTTTGAACAAAATGTTCCCACTCAAAGCACTCAGTGAGTTGCCATTGACACCAATAATATACACATTTGCCCTTTGGTGGTGAAATGGAGATGTTGGCGGTACCAGCTTGGTTCTGAGAGTGTCACTAAAAGGCTTTGAAAGCTGATTCTTTACAGTAGCCTTGTGAATCAACAAGTGCCTCCAGGTATAGGGCTAAAATAACAAACATCTAGTCTGACCTGATCATGAAGTATTTCTCATAACTTCCAACTCCACGGTATTCATGTTGTAGTACTGCTTTTGTTTCTTACTATGGGCATTAATTTTTCAAAGGAAGGCAACATTGATGGCTGAGGTTCAGAGATAATGTCGTTTTCAGGGCCACATTTGCTCTCCCTTATATGTTTTCATTTCAGTCAGTAGTTCTTAACCTTTTGGGGGGTCACAGCCCCATATGACAACCCAATCAAATCTATGGGGAAGTGTACATAGGCACACACAGAATTGTATATACTATTTAGGGTGTTCCTAGACCCTCTGAATTCCCCCATCAGCCCTGTGACTCGTTGTTGGCTTGTTCTAATAAGGTTCTTACAAAATTGTTGTCATTTTAAGCTAAATATGCTAACAAAGTTTGATCCCTTTTGTCACCATTCGGTTCTTCTGTTTGACACATACACACAGTGAACATTTCCAGGCTCATTGCACATCTGTTACTATAAACCACTGTCCTGTACTTCTTCCTTCTCTGGAAACAATGAATGCATATGTATTTTTTAGAGAAGTACAAATAGATAGATCAGTTCTGCCCAGGCAGAGGAAAAGCTCTTGTATGCATTAGTATAATACATCTGTGCAAGTAGGAATTAGAATCTATTCAGTATAGCTGTCACGACCATGCTTTTCTGCCTTCATGTTAAAGAAATGTTTCTCGGGTTATAAAACAGCTTATATAACTGCAATCATGTTATTTAAAAATAACGAAGCCCTTATATCCATGTTTATATAAAATGCTAAAGGAATATACATCAAAAGGCACATATATTCAGATAACATTGCAGGTGGTGGGCCTTTGCTGTGCTACTGTTTGGAATTTTCTTTATTGGAAAATCCAGGTGGAATAGAGAAAGAAGGGATGAGGTCTCTTACTAAATTGGGTTTCTGGCTTTTTTCTTCTTACATTCCGGTGAGTATGTGAAATGCAATGAGGAAAAGATGTGTTACAAAATAGCGCCAGCATCTCAAATCCATGGGCCTTCATTTTTGTTTTCAGTTTGAATCCTGATTTCTTTGGAAAGGGTAGTTAGTGTTTTGGGTTTTTTTAAGTGCTCTGAAAACAATCAAAATTAAATTCAAATTGTGCCAGGTAAAAATAAAAATATAACATCCTAAGGATCACATAATAGTGCACCACGGTGGGACTTCATAGTTTACAAGAAGATTGTGTATATTAATTCATGAGACTCTCAGAAATCAGTGAAGGAAGATGGGTCAACAAATAGGCCGGTGTTGTAAGAAACCCAGCTCAGAGCCTTAGCTGAGGTCCCATGACTAGTAAGGGACTGGGAGGGAGGCTTTATATTTCTGGCTCCTAATTCAGCGTTCTTCCTGGCTTCTCTGCCTTGGATACGTGGGGAAATCGCCTGGCTCTCTGAGTCCCAGTTTGCATTTTCATAATGTAAACTTATTTCATGTATTTATTTCAAGTTTTTACACTTGTTTTCATTTTGCAGAGTTGTGTTGAGAATCAGATTATACAGTGCAGTGGTTCTCAAAGCATGATCCCTAGACCAGCACCAGGAGCATCTCTTGGGAGCTTGTTAGAAATGCAAATTCTTAGGCCCACCTCAAACCTGAATCGGAAACTCTGGGTTTGGCACCCAGCAATCCATCTTTTAGCATACCCGCCAGGTGATTCTAATACACACTCAGGTTGGAGACTCACCAATGATATGTGTGAGATAGCATTTTGAAAAGCGCAATGTGTTCTAGAAATTTGAGATAGGAAGCTGTTTTTTTTTTTCCTTTTTTAAAGATTTTATTTATTTGAGAGAGAGTGAGAGAGAGCATGAGAGCAGGGTGAGGGGCAGAGGGAGAAGCAGACTCTCCGCTGACCAGGGAGCCCCATGCGGGACTCAACCCTGGAATCATGACCTGAGCCGGAGGCAGACACTTAACCGACTGAGCCACCCTGTTCTTTTTTTTTTTCTTTTTTTTTTAATTGAGGTAAAATTTATGTATAGTGAAACCCAAAGATCTTAGACATACAGTTCTATGAATTTTCACATTATGTGAAATAATATCCAGTTGAGGCATGGAACTCTTTCATCATTCTGTAAAGTTCCCCCTTGCCTCCTCTGGTCTGTCCTCATCCCCGCTGGGCAACTGCTGTTCACGGACAAACTTCATTAGAGGAAATAAGAGGACACGACAATGATTTGATCACAGAACAATGACTGTATTCTCTTTTTCCTTTACTACTTATACTTACCATTTCTTTTTGAATTACTAAGCAGAGTTCTCTCTGGTTTTTCAGCCCATGGACCAAGCTTCTCTCAAAAACAGTGACGTTCTCATTCTGACAGGCCTGACCCAGATCCCCACCGCGAACCCAGACGGCATGGTGGGAGAGTTCTGCAGCAACCTGGGTATGTGGCCAGCTCATACTGTGAATAGGGTGAGGTGTGCTAGGTTCACTTTTTGATACCTTGCTTCTGTAGTAGTTTGTGCTCCTTCCCTTCACATTCACATCCTCCAGTGTTTCAGTTTTTCCCCCGTCTACTCCACTCTTCTCGCCTGTCCTTCAAAGCTTGCTGTTGTCAGCAAAAGCAATTCTTAAGCAACAGAAATCTGAAGAATGTCAGAATTGTCGTAAGAGTCAATGCAAGTGTTTAGCACTTTTATGCAACAAATACTCAACACTCTCCCACTTGACTTATGTTGAAAATTCTTATTTATTCTTCTTGCTTTGTGGTGGGATTTGGGGGCAGGACGGGCGTGCATACAAGGTAGCAGCTGTCAAAAAAGGGAAGAATCACATCTTTGCTTTGCAGATAATAGCAGATTGAAAAGACCGTTAATGCTTTGCATTCACAACAGCGAGACGCTGAACAGGTCATTTTTTTCCACCAGTATTTGGTTGGTGTTATTTTTTCTTTGAGAGAAGACTAAATTTGGGGGAGAGGCTTGGGTGTTTGCTACCTAGAAGAAATGTATGTTTCTTTGGATATAATTGTCAGTAAAATCTAGAAATCCTGCCCTTCTTTATGGAAAAGTATAGGTTGCTTACTGTCTTATCTTGGGCTGCTGTAACAAAATACCATAGACTGGGTGGCTTGAACAACATTTATTTCTCATAGTTCTGGAGGCTGGGAAGTCTGACATCAGGTTGCCAGCATGGTCAGGTTCTGGTGAGGCTTGTAGATGCCCGCAAGGGTGTCCTCACTTGGCAGAGAGAAGCAACTCTCGTGTCTCTTCCTATTCCTGTAAGGACACTAATCATATCATGGAGGCTGTACCCTCATGGCCTCCTCTAAACCCTGTTACTTCCCAAAGCACCCACCCCCAGTACCATCACATTGGGAGTTAGGGCTTCAATATATGAATTTTAGGACACAGACCTTCAGTCCATGACGGTTACCAAAGAGGGGTTAATGAGCTCAGACCTTCCACCCCTAGCAACTGTAAGTGCTGTCGCCTCTGCTCTGGGGGAAAGAAATAGTCATATATACATGAAAGGCAGTATCCTTTGAAATTTCACCTGCCCATGCCAAACTTTTTTGTTCTTTGCTGATATTAAGCCAAACACAATTTATTCTTCCTTGAAAAAATTACTGGACTTGTCTCAAATAGCATCTTTGATTTGTATGTTTGTTTGTTTATAATCTAGAATCATAGACTCAAAGAACTTTAGATCTTAAAGGAGCCTTACATCTAATCTCCTGGTTCTCAAAGTCCACTAACCACTTGCCTCAAGATCAGTGAGGCCACTTATTAAAGATACAATTTGGAGTCCCTGCCACAGACGTAGTAAGTCAGATTCTCTGGGGAGAGGAGAGACCCAGCAGAAAACCTGCATTTTCAACATGTTCCCTGGCAATATTCATGTACACTAAAGCTTGAAGACCACTGATCTAGTTCACTCCTCTCATAACCAATCAGGAAACAGGCCCAGCCACGTATCAGTGGCTTATGCAAGATCCTATAGCTTGTGACAAAGGTGGGAGTAGAGCCAGGCCTCTGGAGCCCTGACCACTGTCTCCCACCACGGTACCGTAGTCTCGTAATGGCAAGTCAACCGTGCTTGGGGTACCGCATCTGGGAGAACCTGTGTGTCAGACCTGGGAACGAAGAGGATCCAAGACATCAGAGGCTTCAAGATCTATACCCAAAAGCTGTGTGTTTCAGTTTGTTTTGGAAACCAAACAAAAAACAAACTTAGAAGAGCTTTGGTTTTTTTTTTTCTTTTTTAGCCAGTTATATCTTCTAATATGATTATACCCATAAGTTGCAATTCCTCATTTGATAACTTGTTTTAAGTATTTAAAGTATGGAGGATTTTCTTACAGATAACCCATTAATGAAAGAAAATGCCTAAAATGAGTCAAATGGAAAAACTTGGCCTATTTCCTTATAGGTCATTCAGCAGTGGTCAAAGACTGAGCAGAGACAAATCCAGCAAAGTTTTGAGCAGGAGCTAAAAAGAAAAGGAGCTTGGAGGGTCTGTCCTGAAGCTCGGCTGCCATTGGTAACCTTTAAAACCCAAACCCTTCACTGCACACCCTGTTCCCAGGGACTGAGACATCCAGTAAAAACCCAGCTGATGGTTAGCCTCTGGATTCTCCCACCCCTGTGCTGTTCTTCAAAAGAAACAGATCATTATCCATGGGAAATGAATTCTATGAACAGAAGTAGGAAAATGAAAGAAATCCAAATATTATTTTTAAAGTTTCGTTCTACCTCTATAAAACTATTCTTTTAATGCCACCGTTTTCTCTCTGGCTTCAACTTTTCTAGCACTGACAGTCCGGAATGGAGGAAACGTGTTGGTGCCCTGTTACCCTTCCGGCGTGATCTATGACCTCTTGGAATGTCTGTATCAGTACATTGACTCAGCCGGCCTCTCCAACATCCCTTTCTACTTCATCTCCCCTGTGGCCAACAGTTCACTTGAGTTTTCCCAGATTTTTGCTGAGTGGTATGTCTGTGTTCTTCTCCATGATTCAGTATATTCAAGCAATAAGAATGAAAATGTAAAAAGTTTTTTTAATTAAAAAAGAATAGAAATAGGTTTTTTTTCCTTGCATTATTATGAGACTTACATTTTGTTGTCTTTCCATGTCTGATGTGAAAATTGTATTAGTGAAAGCCAAATCTGTTATGTTGCTAGGGTGCAGAAGAAGAGTGATCAAGGAGAGAAGGCTGAAAGGCAAAGATTTAACTTAGCCAGCACTTTCAAAATCAGTGATAAAAATATGCATTTATCCTCTCACATGCTACCCTCTGCCTGTTACAAAGTGAAGTGACATTCTAGAAGCTCAAAGCCCAAGCTCATGTTGTCTGGAATTTATAACACCAAATCTGATAAGAAAGGCTGGATTTTTTTCATTTCAATAGCATGATATTTGACAAAATTAAGTTTTATTACAGTAGGAAATTATTTGATTCAGTCCTAAGGTGGGTGAATGATTGTATAGGATGAAATCAGTGAACCCTGTTAGAATTATTTAGATGCACGTCTGAATCTAACTCACCTGGCCAAGAAAACGGAGGGATGGGGGAAATACATTAGCTTTTACAGTCAACCTAACAGTGCCTTAGAGTGGAGTTTCTAGACGGGGGTATGACACATACACCGGTGTGTTTAATCCATTTTAGTTGTGTGGGAGCCTAGTGGACACAGTATTCTACTGAGTTTCTCATTAAAAAGGAATTTGTATGTCATTCTGTCGTAACTTGTTCGGTACTGCCTCCCCCACTCCTCCTTTTTAAAGGGCATTTTTTCCCCTCCCCTTTTAGTTGTAGTCAAGGTCCTTTTTTCTTTCTCTCAATTCAAACAAGCTTCTCCATCCCCTGTGCATGTTATTCATGTTTGTCCTTAGGGCTGTCACTTTTATTGGTACCTATTGAATTTTATCCTTTGCATCGGGTCTTTTCTCCCCCAACATGGGAAGTTAATCTTGAATAATTAGCAGTCCACCCTAAGTATCACTTGCGCAATTAGTCAGCGTGTTCTGAATTTCCTCATCCAGATCCTTAGTAAAACACTCCAGGGCCAGCCCTGCAAGGCCCAGGTGCTGGTGTGCTCCTCAAGGCCACCCCTCCCCCACTGCATGCTGTTCTTGTCAGCATATCTGATGGGAGAGAAATCAGGACCATGAGAATTAGTGTAGGTTGTTTTTGTGTTTCTGGGTCTTTTTATTTGTTCATTTCTAACATATGTGTAAACACATTTACTGTAGAAAACAATACAAGTTACAGGAAAGAGGAAAAAACTGAACCCATAAGCCCAATCTCCAGCAATAATATCACTGTTGGCATTTTGATGGATTTTTTCTTTCTATATGAGGATCATGCTGATTATTTAATTTTGGATCCTGCTTTTAAAAATTTTAATATGAGATTAGAGCATTATAAAATCTTCGAGAACATAGTTTTTACATGACTGCATTATTACATTATTTGTACCTCATTTGTATATCGTATAATTTACTTAATTGTTGTCTTATTGCTGGACAGACAGGCTTGGCCCAGTTTTTTCTTTTTAGTAATAAATCTTCAATTAATATCATTTTTATGACTATATGACTGCATTTTCTGCTTTAGGCCAATTACTAAATGTGGAATCATTGGAACAAAGAGTATAAATATGTTTTAATGTTCGTTATATAGATCTAAATTGCTTTCCAGAAAGATTTTTGGCTTCTGTAAATTGTCCCCTTTTTACATATTAGAGGTGTTATACTTCTCTTACCATTTTATCTGAACTCTATTCTTTTGTTATATTTCTGCAGACATTTTTTCCCATCTTGGCACTTTAGATTTTGTCTTTGATTTTGTTTTCTTAAATAATAAAGTTGTTATTTTGGAATAATTTTGGGATTACAAAAAAGTTGCAAAGATAGTGCAGAGAACTCCTATATACCTTCTACTTAGCTTCCCCTGATGTTAACATCTTACGTGGCCATATACACATGCCAAAACTAAGAAGTGAACATTAGCATATTATTACTAGCTGAACTCCAGTCTTTATTCAGATTGTACCAATTTTTCCACTAATGTCTGTTTTCAGTCCCAGGATCTAGTCCAGGATACCACAAGGCATTTAGGTTTTTGGTTTTGGTTGTTTTTTTTTTTTTGACAGAAATACTTTAGTTTTCTATATTGATGCTAACTAAGGCAGCATAATATCCTTTGCAACAATCTAAGAAACCTTAAATGAGCATCTTATATTTGCCTCTCTTCCTGAGTTTAAGAGTTTTATCTTCCTGTATAGAACTATATATATAATATAAAGTAACCCTCCAAAAGTATCTTCCTTCCATATTTACATCTTCCTCCAAAAAAGATATAAAGTGATTTTTTAATCAAGATTAAAGAAAGCGAAGTGTAGGAAAAATTAAAAAGTAGTATTAATGAAGTTAATGTAAAACCCAAACCCTGAAGTCCTGAACCACTCCCCCCAAAGTAGTATCTGTTAGAACTATTGAAATACTTTAATACTATTTTAGTAGAATTCTCACAGATGGGCTCTAACAAACATACATCACTACATATATTTTTTCTAACTTTTAAAAATGCCAAACCTACAGAACACCCATGACTCTTGAGTTATCAGTTGTTAACTTTTGCCACAATTGCTTTATTCAGACATTTCCATATTTTAAATGTCAGATCTGGCCAAGAAAGAGCATAGACTACCTAAAACATTCACAGTGTCTCCAGACTGAGATACTTCATTGCTCTCCAGTTTGAGTTACCAGTGCTGCTTAGTGGGTGTGCAAAACAGCAAGTTGTGTGTCTGAAAAAAACCTGTCACTTTGTCCTCAAAAGCGATCACAACGAATGCAAGGTTAGGATAGGATAGAATCAAAGGATACTTTGAATTGGATCCTGGAATGGCAAAAGGACATTAGTGGAAAAACTGGTAAAATCCAAACAAAATGGGAATTTAGTTGGTTGTAATGCAGTAATGTTAATTTCTTTGTTCACCAAACGGATCGTGGTTATGTAAGATGTTAATGTGAAGGGGACTCTGGGTATAGGGCACAAGGGAAGTCTGGACTGTCTTTGCAACTTTTCTGTGTAAATCTAAAACTATTCCAAAATAACAGGCTTATTTTTTAAGGCAAAAATGTATTGAGGAATTTTAAGAGTTAAAAAATGCACACAAGACATTTATGTTCTGAATACTCTGTCGACGCTGGCTTTTAGTCACAGCGAGATTCGCTAACAGGAAGATTTTAAGTAACCTTTAGTATTTAGTGTTTGCGCTGCTATCACTAGGTGGCAGCAAACGCCCCTGTGTGCTCTACCTAACATGCTCATCTGCTTTTCCTCTTTAAAAGGCTTTGTCACAACAAACAGACTAAGGTGTATCTCCCAGAACCACCTTTTCCTCATGCAGAGGTAAGAAAATGGCATTATTGGGTCAGAGCAAGAAAAACTGTAGATAAATGGTTCGAGATGGAGATAGTAGGTCATTGGATTTTAAAAAATCCTGGGGCGCCTGGTGGCTCAGTCAGTTAAGTGTCCGACTCTTAATTTCGGCTCAGGTCATGGTCTCAGGGTCATGAGACCCCTCTTTGGGTTCCATACTGGGTATGGAGCCTGCTTAAGATTCTCTCTCTCTCCCTCTCCCCCTCCTCTCTCTCCTTCTCCCTATCTCTCTCTCTCTCTCTCAAAATAAAAATTAAAAAATCCTTACATAAGCTCATATAGCCCTTTGTTTCCCATGTGAGACAACTGGGAAGTACTCTAACTCAAGATTCACTACTCTCTCTTCTTATTAACACATTATAGTACCAGTATGTGTCTGCAGTTCATAACCTACCTCTGTTCTGTTGACCGGGTGAGGAATTTTATCTAACATCTACTGCTAACTTTTTTACATAATGACAGATTTATTTATTGTGTAAAGTCTTCTTTCCAGTTAGTTATGTTGACCATATATTTGAAGCTTTAATGATGAAAATGATAACATTTAAGTTTTTAGAAAATAAGGGGTCAGAAGGAACAAACTTCCACTTATAAATAAGTCATAGGATGTAATATACAGCATGGTGACTGTAGTGAGCAGATATTAAAAGTTCTCCTCACAAGAAAAAAGTTTGTAACATTTATGGTGATGGATGTTAACTAGGCTTACTGTGGTGATTTTTTCACAATAGATAAAATACTGTACAGCTGAAACTAATACAACATTATATGTCAGTTATACCTCTCTTTCTTAAAAATGGAAAAATTATACCTTTCTCATAGAACAGATGAGTGTTTTTATATAGCTTTGTACCCAGTTTTGTTTTCATTATGTTTTTCACCAAATAGTGTATCATGGACATTTTTCTGTGTGCCTCATATCGTTATTATTGCTGCCTAGTATTCTGGAGCATATCATATGGACATTTTGTAATATACTTAACCATTCTCTTACTATCTGACAAAAGAGTTACGCCCAGTTTTTTGTTATATTTTTTAAAAGGTTGTTTAAATTGGCATAACCACTTTAGGAAACTGGTAGTATCTGCTAAAGCTAAACACATAACATACTCTCTGCCTCAGCAATTTTGTTTCCAAACAGAAATACATAGGTATGTCACCAAAAGATGCACAGAAATGTTGAGAGCGCTCTTAGTAGTAGTTCAGAAATAGACCCAAATGCCCTCAGCAGTCTAGTGGATTTTGTGGTATATTCATATCTTACACCAGTAAGAATGAACGAACTCCAGTTACATGCAGTCGTGTAAACACAGTTCACAAACACGATGTGAGTGAAATAAGTCAGACAGAAGGGAGTAGACACTGTGTGATTTTCTTTATATACAAGTTCAAAAACACAAAACTCATCTATGGTATTGGAAGCCAGCACAGTGGTTACCCTGGAGGTAGGGATGGAGCAACAGTAACTGGAAAAGGGCAAAGGGGAATTTCTGAGAAAATTGCAACAAACATCCTGCTAACTATTTAAAACTTGACAACTCGTACTATTCTTACTTATTCCTACTCCGGAGGATTTTAACCGAACCAGAATTCCACGTGGCAGTTTCTGAGAAAGTCATTTTTCAGTCCACACGCTGTTATAGTAGCCACGGTATTTACAAGCTCTGCCATTACCGCAGTGAAATTCAGGCTAGAAATGAAGTAATGTCAGAAAATTAAGGGGCGCCTGGGTGGCTCAGTCGTTAAGCGTCTGCCTTCGGCTCAGGTCGTGATCCCAGGGTCCTGGGATCCCACGTCGGGCTCCCTCCCCGGCAGGGAGCCTGCTTCTCCCTCTCCCACTCCCCGGGGTTGTGTTCCCTCTCTCACTATGTCTCTCTCTGTCAAATAATAAATAAAATCTTAAAAAAAAAAAAAGAAAATTAAGTGTGGCAAAACATATTTTGTGGCTGATTTTACCACCGAAAGTCTCTTTTTCTCCCCCCCCATCAACAATTAGCCTTTCTTTGTTTTCTAAGAGTGTTGCTGTCCGTTCTTACCCACATATGTCCCAGATGACCTTTGTCCTGTTTACAGTTATGAATATGAAAAGACCATAGTGGCGTGAACAGGGTTCCTGAAATGCACTTTCCAACATTAGGGCATGATGGAGTTGACTCTGGGTACTGTGACCAGTGCCCATGAGAAAATACAGTTCTGCCCTGAGTACTGATAAAAAAAAAAAAAAAATTTACAGAATTCCTACCCTACAGCTTCATTGCCTGTGCAGTTTAGACCTTAAAGAAGTGCAGTGGTAATTCTGGATTTTCAAATATAGTAAGTCAGCTGGAAAGGTAGATCCAATTGGCAAAAAAAAAAAAGAAAGAGATGAATTTATCTTAGTTTCTGTGCATTGATCAGAAGAAAGAACTTCAGGAACTGTAGGTAATGACTAGAAAGTGATTTAAGTTATGTGCAAAGACCCACTGCTATTCTTAGAATCCCATTCATCTCCTTGACAGCAATGGATACAGTAGGCTTAGTCTTTTAGACAGTGCTCACCCTTATTTAACTGGGACAAGGAATGATTTTGGCTAGATCGGTTATAAAAAGAATGTCAGCTTACTTGTATATAACTTGGCAGGAAGGTGGGAATTCAGCGTTTGCTCCATGTTTACTATGCATGTCCCATCCAACCTCGGACACCTGATTAGGATTTCCGGGGCAGTGTCGCAGTGTTACTAGTAAAAGCAGTCTCTCTGAATTAAAGATTAAATCTTTAAAGTGAAGAGAGTTTGGCTTCCATTTGGGGGTTGTCCCATTGTGGCCACATCTCACTGTTGGGGTGACTTCACTTGGAGTTGGGGTTGTTGACTGGGCTCCCCTCTTACGCATGATGGGTTGCTTCAGGATTAAGTTGTGTCACAGACCATTTCTTTATCCATCAGACAATATCTCAGGGCAGTACTCCCTTTGATCTAGACCTAGCAGGTATGTAGGGTCTCTGAAGTCTGGGTGTTTGTCATCTGACCTTTTGGTGCTGGAGTGGGGGGGAGGGCACGGCCGGGGCAGCAGGAAGAGCTCCTGAGCCATGTCAGAGGACGCCGTGTGGGGCTGCTGTCTGTGGTGTTGCCTTGGGTTGGGCATGACTTTGGGAGAGTAGTGCCAGGTATTGTGCTGGAAGGGAGATCTTTTTAGTTCAAAGCATACACTTTTGAGACAAGTTTGAAGCTGCGCATGGCCCACATCTTCCCACAGCTCTGTGTTGTGAGCACGTCACATCTAAATTTCTGAAAGCCAATTTGGCCTTTGTCTTTATGAAGTTGCTGCAGTAACTTACAGCTGCAACTTCTCAAGAGGTGGTCCTATGCGGCTAAATAATTTTCCTTGTGTGAGGTGTTTATTGTTGACAGAACTTAGTGATTCACGTGTTTTGGGAAAGTTACTTGTACTTCAAATAATAACTCATATTGGGAACTTCTGGGGCCAGAGCTTGGGGTGTCAGGAAGCTCTAAAGGAAGACTTAGACTCCATCAGGCCTTAACAGCCTGAACAGAAGTATCCACTGAGTAGGTTACTATGTACCAGAAGGCCTCATCTGTTCAGAAAGTCACCTTGTAGGTAGAAAATGTCCGTTTTTGACAAATATTAATCAGATTTGTTTGTATTTTTAATTTCCTTCTGCTCCCTTTGCCATGCTGTGTGGTTCTTGCCTCTGCCTGCACAGACTGACGTCTCTCCGTGTGCTTCTCTGTACATCTTGTAGCTCATTCAGACCAACAAGCTGAAGCACTACCCCAGCCTCCACGGAGACTTCAGCAGTGATTTCCGCCAGCCGTGCGTGGTGTTCACCGGGCACCCCTCCCTCCGGTTTGGGGATGTGGTCCACTTCATGGAGCTCTGGGGGAAGTCGAGTCTCAACACTGTCATATTTACAGGTAAACAAACAAACAAAAGCTTGCCCTTTCCCCTGGGACCATCACTCAACACACCGACCAAATGGAGACCAACGGACGAATTTTACAGTAAGAGAGAAATATGAACACTCATTTGTCGTAGATACCAACGGTGAAGAAACCACAAGGGAAGGAGTAGGACTAGAGCAAGATGGATTGTTAGGAAACTATACTGGACAAAACTTTCATAGCAGTTTTTGGAGATTTTTCCCTGAGGCAGATTTCTACTGAAATGTTTTTGTGAGGATTTTGTATGCTGTTTCAAGAATGGCAATAATTCTAGTAACCACTCTTGTTTTACCCTTTAGGAATTATTTCCTGAATTGGGCCTTTCCCCTTTGGTTATAGTTTTCCCTGGCTTACAGTTTTCCTTCTGGAGACAAACCCTTCGAAGTAGAACAGATCCTTTCATGAGGTCAAGCAGGGGTTTTACTTAATCACTCTATTATTTTATCAATTTTAGATCTTTAGTCAGCCTTGGGATTTGGAAATCTTATGGGCAGTGAAATAAAAAACCTTGATCCGAATCTGGTCCAATGGACTGTAACCGAAGCCAAGTTACCCATGTCTCTGAGCCTCATTTCCTTCCTCATCAAATGGCGTTATTGCTGGCTCCTTCCTTGAGTGGCCCTGTGCATTTAGTGAAATGTTATAAGAAGACACTTCATGTAGTTCCTGGCACATAAAAGCTGTTAAGAAAGTTATCAATTGACTTCTTTCTCATTGCTTTTAAGACTTGAATGATGGAAGGGAGTCTACTCCATCCCCAGCGCTTTAGGATCATGGACACTGGGGCCTTTCCCTGGGCTCAGCCTGTTGGTGAGGAGTGCCAGAGGCCTCCACCACATGACTAGTCAAACAAAGTTGGCTTCACGACTCACTGCAGCTGGGAAGGACGCATACCATGGGGAAGTGGGAGGCATCTCAGAGCATGTTGAAAAGAACTACGGATTTGGGCTTGTGTTGGCTGATTTTGAGGTGGGTTCACAGCTGTGGGACATTGTTCTGGATTGGCTGCTGTCAGGAAACAGGAGTGGTTATGTGACTGAGTATCTTAATAATTCTTATCTAGAAGGCAAGAAGAATGGAGCCAGAATAGGGTAATATTTGCTTCTTTTGGGGTTGGAACAGTGTTGTGGTTTTGTGTTCAGGCATGATTACAGAAGGGTTCTTGTTGTTGTCTTGATCCATTGTGGTCACAAGTGGCCGTGTCTGGTGTGAATGCTCTGTGAAACTGTATGTCCAGCAGGAGAACACCGTGGCCTAGCTGTGAGTGATCGGCCGGCTCTGGCTAACAGCAAGGCCTAGTAGAAAGGGTCACGAGAGCTCAGAAAAGCAGCTGGCAGGGGCTGCTTCTCTCTTTCCCGGGCCCCTTTGGCCAAGAGGACGTCAGGCCACAAGATGCAGACTCATGGTACCCAGAACCTCACCATTGCCAAGTTTTGCTAAGCGGGAGGCAATCTGGAGAACATTGTAGTAGGACTAAGCGGGGGTCTCTCCTATTCTTTTTGAGGAGTTGTTGACTCTGATAGGACAGTGGGTACAGTGTTTACACAGGCACAGTTAGGGCATTGGCTATGGTATGAATTTTCCTTCAGCTAGGAAGGAATCAAGGGCTGTGTGATGGTCCATGACCACCTTGGAAACAATGAATTTAAATCTCAACCGGTTTTGAGGGGCTTTCAGAATGGCCGTTAGGTCATTTGTGAGGTCTGGTAGTGTCAGAGAGGAGTCTTGGACCCCTGTTGCGGATCGCATTACATCCATGGCACAGTTGAAGCTCACATAGTCCACGTCAAAAGGGAGTCTGTCATCCTCCCAAATGCTTGCCTCATTTGGGGGTGTTCTTCTCGGGAAAGAGGAGCTGCTGGATGGGGAATAGTTTAAAAATCTGGAAGTTCCATCAGTTTTCCCAAATGCACTGGATAAGTTAGTGGGACAGGTGAGTGTACGCCTGAGGGCTGTAAGAAGTGATGTCCTCGTGGGCGCACAGGCTGTTGGGAATCTGAGTATTATTTTTCACACCAGAAATGTGCTGGTTCTTCTGGCTCAGGGTGGACAGCCTCCTCGAGTGAATTGACTGTCCCTGCCAAGCAGGCTGCGGTGAGTGGTTCTGGAGGGAACAGATGGGCCATGAGGGCTGCGCGGGGGCTTGGCTGATAGGAGCACAGTGGCCGCAGCAGAAGCATATGGTGACGTGGGGCCGGGGTCCTTTTCTTTTACTCTTGGGGCATCCTGTCAAGTAGGTGGTGTGTGGCTTGTCTCATCCCTGCGTGTTAACTCTGAGCACTCGATTCACATGGCCTGTGCCAGATTTCTCCACTGTGAGGTCACTATTTTTATATGTAATCATTATCTTGGGGGTCGGGGGAGATGGACACTTTGAGACTACATATCCTTGTCTTCCCCAGATTTCTATCTAATTTTTTTAGCATCTATTGATGATCCTGGTCAGAAAAAGTTATTACTGTGATGGTTGCCGAATGGTGATTGTTTTTTTTCTTTACCTTCATTGTTTCTTTTACCTTTATTTGGCCTTTTGTCGTAAAGAAGAGCTTTCCCTTCTCCCCCATTTACTTAGTTACCATTTGTTTATCTCCTCTGTCTCTGTATGTTGGAAGCCTTGAGCTCACACCCATCCCTCCAATTCTGCATCCACCCTGCGCTCTTCACTCGGGCCTCTCCTTGTCCTTATGTGGAAAGACCTCCTCCCCAGTGATGAGGAACCCGGCTCCCACCGGCCTTACACTGCCTCAGCCTCCCGACCGTGCGGCCGTCTGCTTGGCCTTAACCACACCAGCCGCCTCCTCACTTGGCGGCAACTCCATTGTGTGCATTTCACATTTTGTTTTTTGTGCTCTCATTAGAACCCGATTTCTCCTACCTGGAAGCACTGGCTCCCTACCAGCCCTTGGCCATGAAATGCATTTACTGCCCCATTGATACACGGCTGAATTTCATCCAAGTGTCCAAGCTGCTTAAGGAAGTGCAGGTAAGGAAGGGACCCCTCGCGGGTGTCCCTGCGCGGCCCTGTCACTGCCGGGGGGTTCGTGCATCTGTGGGGTGAGGGCCGGCTGCCTTGCTGCATTTCTTGCCGGGCTCACTTCTCATGCATCTGCTTCTTAGTTACCCCTCACAGCACTGAGCTTTACACCCGGAAAGCAACTTTCCGTTCTAAAGAAATCAAAAGTGGAAGGAAAAAAAGGCATAAACAGTCTATTATTTTTGATGAGAAAATTCTGTGTCCAGTTAAAAGCAAGTTGCCCCCTCTCCCCTCAAAAAAGTCATTCTAGAAACCTCCTCATGGAGCCAAAAGACAGTTTAGCTGAGACCTGGATTGGGCCCTGTTGTACATGTGGATCAGTACCACACACTGGGTTACTTTGCTTTTTATGAGAGGTTTGGTTTGGTTTGGTTTGGTTTTTTGTTGCTTTTGTTTGTTTTTTCCTTTTGCACTTTCTGCCATAGAGAAAGGGCAGAAGTAGTTGGGTAAAGGGGTCGGTAAAAGGAAGGCTGTCTGCACAGCAGGAGAACTGAGAGGGAGAGTGGGGAGCGAGCGCTCGGCAGCATGTCCGATAGTGGGCGTGGGGAGGCTGCTCGGGACTGGCCAGGAAGCGAGGCCAGAGGAAGGTTTCTCATTCCCCATTGCCTCGGGAGCTCAAATGAGCACCACAGTGCCCTGGCACGCCTCCTGTCGCTTCACCTAGTAATTTAGCAAGGGATGATTAGCTCCCTTCACTTTCCTCAGCCCAGGTCAGAAGTTTGCTTTCCTCCTCCCAGAATCTTTGGCCTCGGGTTGGGAGGCACTAACACAGAACTCTGAGGAAGGGTAGCAAGGAATGGGAAGCTGAAGAGCCTCAGGAATGCAGAGATCATGGCTAATGGTTATCCCTCGCTTGCTGGCCCTACAGGAAAGAATATGGGCTTTCTCTAGACATGATCAGAGCAGTGGATAAGTTGGGGCCAGTTTTGCAATTCAGTAGCCCACCGTGTACGCGTCAGCATGCGGGTAGAGAGAGTTGACTAAGTAACACCCCCCCCACCCCCTGCCGTCCCCACAGCAGTGCTGCACTCGTGGATCCCCTGGGAGGACAGGGGCAGTGGGGACGGGAGGAGGGGGGAAGGTGGCTGGAGGCCTCAGGCTGAGACCGTGCCGTCAGCTGGCTCTGAGAGGAGTTACAACATACCACCCAGGCCAGGAAGAGAACAAGGATGAGCCCAACAGAACAAGCGCTGTTTTGAACGCAGCTGGGTGGCCTGCAGGAAGGCCTCCTTCCAGGAACGTGAGGCGCGCTCCAGGCTCTTAAGCAAAAGCAGTGGCAATACAGTGATTCAGGACCGCCGGCCAGGGTCAGTTTTCAGTTGCGTGGTATTTGTCCCAAGTAGATGTTAGTTTACTATTTTGTCTCTCAAAATAACAAAGAGAGGTATTTTGGAAAAAAGCTCTGATTCAGTCTGTCCTACACAATTGAGTGTGTGACCTGAGCAGTGCCCACTGTCGGAAACCAGCGGACCTGCCGATACCAGAAAAAAGCCCAACCCCGGAGCACCAGACTAGCCCGGAAGTCAGCAGTCCTTGCCCACTGGCCACCAGCTGTCCCCACCAGTCAGTGACGGTGGGTGTGATGACAAGACTATGCCCTCCAGGGACTTGGGACCAGTTGAGAGTAGACCCATGGAAGTCACCATCAAAGTGCCTTAAAAATAGTAAATAAAAACAAATGCAAATAGAGGCACTAGTCTACATGGCTGGCAGTTGAGGGCTTTGCCCTGAAATTTTTATTCTTCTTTCCCCGCACTGCGCTTACCTGTCCTGCTCCCGGTTACTTGGGTTTGAGAGGAGGGGAGGTCAGATGGCGCGAAAGTGGTGCGTTTGAGCATGCGTGCACGAGGCCATGGCTGGGCTGCCGCCCTCACCCACCCCTGTCCCGTCGGTTCTCAGCCGCTCCACGTGGTCTGCCCCGAGCAGTACACACAGCCACCCCCCGCGCAGTCCCACCGGATGGACCTGATGATCGACTGCCAGCCGCCTGCCATGTCGTACCGGCGGGCCGAGGTCCTCGCCTTGCCTTTCAAGCGTCGCTATGAGAAGATCGAAATCATGCCAGAGGTGAGCCGTTCTCTCTCTCATGGTCAAACCTGGGCTTTCCACTTGAGTCTCAGAAGAGGACTGTCCCAGAAGTGGCTGTCTTTTGGCCACAGAAAGACTCTTAAGCGAGGACCTGGGAGGGGAGGTGGGGTCTTCAGAGCCTTCTCATTTCTCGGGTAATGAAGTAACAGATGTTAACATCATAAGTGCATCTCATAACTCTTCCTTCAGTTGTGGACATTTATGATTTCTGCTTTTTCTGTATTATAAATCATGCTTTCAGAAACATTCTTTTACAGAAATCTTTGTCCTTATACGGAATGTAGAGAGAACTAAAAGCATCATTGAGTTTTGCCTGGGAGAGGCCTGCGTGAGATGCAGGGGTTAAAACCATTCTTCAGGTTTTGCTACTGCTAAGGAATGCTTATTTCTCCCCCAAATGAGAGTGTGTCCTCTGCAGCTTCCTCATAATCCTCCTCCTCTGTCCCTGTAAGTGCAAGACAGGCGACTTGATGTGCCAGCCCTCATGGATGTGTTCTGGTGGGAAAACTCTCTCTCTGGTCTTGGGCAGCGAGGGATGCGTCCCCCGCTCGCGGACGTGTCTGAGCTGAGTGGTGGTGGTTGTGGGCTCTGGGTAGACATCCCTCGGAGTCTTAGATCTCACTCACAGGGCTGCCCATGTCCCCACAATGCCGTCCCCACACCTCCCAGGCCAGTGCTGCCAGGCTGTGTACGGACGGGCATTGTCGGGAGCCTGGAGCAGACATGGGTCTCCCGGGGGGAGCGTTTCACACTCATGCTGTGTGTGCTTCCTTATTTCATGAAACAGTTCTCACGTTCCTTTTAAATATCCTAAGTGGCGTCCTCTGTCCATGGGATATTGATCTTCATAGTTACATAAATGGAGTCTTGCATATTTATTCACTTTTGTTTTTACACAAAGGAGACTTGGACAGCTCAGAGTCTACATGTGTCAGAGTGATAGTCGACTCAACCCTGGAGCGAGGGCTTCTCACAAGATCACACATCGCTGCCAGTGGTGGAGTCAGGGAGCTCCAAAGCTGCCTCGGAGAAGGGGTGCACATCAGACTCGGGTGGTAGGGAAAGAGATGGTTGGGTGTTCCACCTTTAGGAGAAGTCAGATTTCGAGGAATTAGCTCACTCAGTCCAAATGCTGCTGTCCTGTCCTGCCTGCCTGACACTAGTCACCTAGTGGTTATGAGGTCAGAGGCAGAGGCCGGCATGGAAAGTCGGCACCTGATAGGTATTCTGAGTAAGGAGAAGCCCTTAGCGGTTTCTGAGAGGTCCTGTGGAAGTGTCAGGAGCGGTCTGGAAGCCACCTGAAAGGTGGATGTGAGGTTGTGGCGGTTCGGGTGACGAGCCCGTGGCAGGCTGTTGGTGGTGCATCATTTGGGGGTTGACTAACAAAAGGGTGAAGCAGAAGGGTCAGCACCCTGGGTCCCAGCATGCGACAGCACAGGCTTGCGCAAGGTGGCTGCTGAGAGTCATGGGCCGCCTCCAGGGAGAGCACCCAGGACAGGCCAAAGAACGCTGGGCTCAGGCTCCTTCTCCTCCTCTTCTCAGCCCAGTTTACCCACCGCCACCACCCCCTTCTCTCTGCTTCTCTTACCTCCTTCTTTCTTGTATGTGTAATGTATTTTTGATTAAAGGTATTTTTAAATTTTTTTACCTTCTTTCTTCCTTAAAATCATGTGATCATTTTAGACTGCAATGATATAAACAGAAGTTCAAAAGAAAAGAAAAGGAGGAATGGCGGTCACTAATGGCTCCGCTTCACGGCGCCAGATGCCACACCTTTCCCACCGGGCTGGCAGGGGCGCGGCACTGCGAGCGAGCTGGTGGCTGTGGAAAGCTGGCCTTGGCCATCACCGGCCACCCGGGAGCTCCCCGTGTGGCCTCCTGGTGCTGACTTCGGATGGCGCGGCTGCAGCACCTCGTCCCTCACGCTAGGTGAGCCCAGCTGAGACCGCTGTTTGCTTCCAGCTTGCAGACGCGCTGGTGCCCATGGAGATTAAGCCTGGCATTTCCTTGGCAACCGTCTCGGCTGTGCTGCACACGAAAGACAACAAGCACATCCTTCAGGTATGGGGGAGGGTGGGCTGGGCTTGCCCCCCTGAGTTGCCGCTGGGGCCTGGGAAGACGAGGAACCCCCCAGGCCACCCCCACCAGTGGTCCTAGCACTCCAGCCAGCACAAGTGAGAGACCAGACTCCTTAATGGATTAGATTTGAAACAGAGAGAACACGGCGTATAAATGCTCCCCTACTTATTTCTCTGGCCACGTGCCTCAGAGAGAGAAATGGGAAGAGTGGCTATTATTCATAGCGCTGGGGCCGCACATCATCCTAAGTGCCCTTCCCGGCTCCAAGCACCGGCGGGCGCCTTCGCTAGACCCACGGTGCGGAGTGCGGAGTGCGGGGCGGGGGCGGGGGGAGCCCCCCAGAGCAGCAGGAAAACCCACCCCGCCAACCCCCCGGAGGAGGCCTCCCCTATGGAACACACCTGCCGAAGCAGGCAGCACCTGGGCACCTGGGAGCCAACCCGGCCCACAGGCCGCAGCACCTTGTCCTCGGCCCCTCGTGCCCCAGTTCACCGTGTTTACGGCCTCGTGGTGTCACTCTGTAGGCCCTTGTCCTCACCCCCCCGCCACTGAGAAAAACTCCTTTCAGGCTTGGACCGTTCTGCCACGTAAAATATGTGCGCCATGTGAGCCCCTTGCCATGATCATTTCTCACCTTCCCACTTCATCCTCACCAAATTCCATTACCACCGCTTTGTAGACAGTGTCTCTGACCTTCATTTTAACCCATCAGTCTGCCCCGACCGCTGGTGGCCTCGGCTAAACCAGCAGTTGCCAACACAGTTTATTATTTAAAGAATTTACTCAGAAAACACTGAAATGAATCATTTAAAACTTAAAAATGAGTCTTGATCAAAGGAAGATCTCTCTGCCAGAAAAGGTCCCGATGCTGTGTGGGTGCTTTGGCGTTAGCTTCTGTTACGAAGAACGCCAGGTGGAGCCCCCAGGCCACGGCGGCCCTGAACCCCAGAGCTGGCCGACCTCGCCGCGGGGATGGCGCGGGCCAGGCAGCGGGGCCCTGGGCGGGATGGGCAGACAGGCTCGTGCCGTGGCCCCGCACTGCCCGCTCTCGGGGGGGGGGGGGGGGGGGGGGGGGGGGGGGGGTGCTTGATGGGATCTGCGCTGGCTCCCGCTCTAGCCCCCGCCCAGGCCGGCCCAGCCCACAGGCGGCAAGAAGAGAAAGCGGGCAGCCGAGGACATCCCGGACTGCAAAGTGCTGAAGCCCCTGCTCAGCGGCTCGATCCCCGTAGAGCAGTTCGTGCAGACGCTGGAGAAGGTGAGCGCTACCCAGGCCGCGCGGGAGCGGCCTCCCTGCTGTTCGCTTGCGTCGCTGCTTTTCTCTCGGGCTCCACAGGCTGAGCTGCTGTCCCTGAAGCGGGAAACAGAACGGGGGCAGGGTCCCAGAGAGGCGAGAGAAGACCGTGCCCGTCTTCCCTGTAGGTCCCCCGTTTCTTCTCTGCCAGCCCCTTCCCGTCAGACTCGGCTGCGAGACCACCTCACCCCACCCTGTTTCTTGTGGGAACTAGCCAGGGGAGCCCTTCAGAAACCTAGATGCGACCGATGAGCGAGGTGGGAAAGGCCAGGTAAAGACGACTTTGTAGGTCTGCCCCTTCGAGCCTCACTTTCCAAGAAGACCCCTTGCTGTCAGAGCGCCAGCATGGCCGTGTCACAAGAGACGAGAGGCTCAGGACTGGGGGGCAGTGAGGGCAGAGGCGCCCGTGTGGCCGGATCCCGGGGAGTGGGAGAAGCAGGCCCAGCAACTCCCAGATGGGCGGGAAGAGAGGGAGGAAGTCGGCGGTCCTCTGGAGGACACTGGCCCTTCCCCGGATCAGCAGCCGGCCATCAGTGGTTTAATTTGTCCCTGAAGGAAAGACTGCGGCCACGTTGTGCAGCCCTCCTGGCCCCTGAGGGTGGGGACACTGCATGGGAATTAGCCTGGGAGTGTCCCGTGTGATGCAGTGAACACGGCAGCAGCTCCTTCCTCGGAACCTTGTGCTGTTCCGGCCCCTATTGGTAGGACTCAGCCTGACTTGTTTCTTTTTAAAGAATCAGCTTGCTTTCCCAGAAACACCTTCACTTAGTTCTTCGGCCTGGCTCATCCAGAAATTGACCCTTAGCACCTGTCCCTTTCAGGCAGAGCAGTCTTATTTCTACTTCTTTTCCTCTTTCTCAACTTTATGTGTGATGTGTAAGAAAATTCTACAACTCACGTTAAGGTAGTTAACTATGCTGCCTTGTCTCCTTCTCTCTTGAGAAGGATTTGCCAAATCACAAGGCCCTTGGTATCTTGCTTTGAGGAATGGCGTTTTCCTGGGATGGGATGAAGCTTTTTTTTTTAAATCAGGGACCTTGGTGTGGTTGGGTGATGGACAGCCCAGTATGGGCTGAACCCAGGCACTTGGATGTGCTCCTCAGGTAATTCACAAAAGCTTACGCAGGTTATAGAAGTTTTGTTGTGTTTTGTATGAGATTTTGCATGTTTGGAGGCTTCTTTTAAAGTATATGCAGCTGTGTTTGAATTCTATTGTTGTAGGAGGTCCTGTGACGACTCTGAAGAATTATATTGGGGAGCATCAAAAATGACAGTTTCTAGAATGTTCAGTTTAGCCAGGTCTAGGAAGTGTCCTTTCTTAGAACTGTCAGTTGCTGCAATATCCTCCTGCCTTTCAGTCAGCCCCTTGCTTTCAGAGTATCCATCATCCTCCTTTCTCTTCTTTTGGAGCAGCATGGCTTCAGTGATATTAAGGTGGAAGACACAGCGAAGGGCCATATTGTCCTGCTCCAGGAAGCGGAGACGCTCATCCAGATTGAGGAAGATTCGACTCATATCATTTGTGACAATGATGAGATGCTCAGGGTACGACTGCGGGACCTCGTTCTCAAATTCCTACAGAAGTTCTAAATGGAACATCTAAGCCATTTCTACTTCACTGAAATCCTGCCGTCCTTCGCTGGGGCTGCCCAGCCCAAACTGAGGAAGGGCATAAAAAGTTGGTCATGTCTTTGTGGTGTTCTCTGGCTTAAGGAATAAAGAAGTGGCCCTTGAGGGATGTGATTATCAGCAGTTACAGCCAGAATCTCCTGGGCTAGATTTCTAGCACTGTTGTGGGCAAGAGCTTTTGCTTTAAACTTAAACTCATTTTCTTCCCAATTCTGCCTCTCTCGGGGTGGCCAAGATGGTAAGGCAGCAAGCTGAGGAGTAGCGTAAGAGTAACAGAAGCAGCTTTCCAAGAGGTCAATGGTGGAAGGGGAGGTAAAAGATGACCGACTTAGTCTGTGTTTGTTTTTCATGGTTTCGTAGGCCTTGGGCAGGGGGAATTAGTCTTTGCTTGTGCTTTATTTACTTGTCTACAGTGCTACACCTAATGAGAAAGATGATCCAAAAAATTGGTATAATGAACCATCTATATGTATTTTATACTGTGAGCCCATTTTGTTAATAAAACTTATTTTTTATAGAAGTACGTGTGCTCTGTTGAACCTAGAATGTATACACTGATTTAGTATCTGAAAAAAATATGAATCTATACAGAACAGCATACATTTAGAAAATACTGTAATGGGGCACCTGGGTGACTCAGTCGGTTAAGTGTCTGACTCTTGATCTCGGTTGTGAGTTCAAGTCCCATGTTGGGCTCCATGCTGGGTGTGGAGTCTACTTAAAAAAATACTATAGCAAATTTTAGTTTGGTGCATGCAAGCATATAATCCAACATTATTTAGGAAACTCAGATATGTTCTTCTTAAATTGTATGAAACGGTGCTTAACTTTATCTGAGCTGTGTTTGTATAAAAAACACCAACACAGGGGCACTTGGGTGGCTCAGTCTGTTGGGCATCCAACTCTTGATTTCGGCTCAGGTCATGATCTCAGGACTCTGAGATCACGCCCTTTGTTGGGTTTCATGCTCAGCACAGAGTCTGCTTGTCTTTCACCCTCCCCCTCTGCCCCTCTCCCAGCTTGTGCGCTCTCAAATAAAGATAGATAGATATAAATAAAATCTTAAAAAAAAAAAAACCGGGGCG